TTTTCAATAAAAGTAGGCGTGGTATTAAAACATTAATTACCACGCCTACATTTAAAATGACTACTGATTGCGAGCGAGACTGATTCAGTGATTGTCTCCCTTCTCTTGCTTCTCTTCTCAAAATGGAAGGCTCTGATGGCAGCACTGGGAGTATCGGGTCATCCTCAAAAGTAGCTCCTTTAATTTTAATTATAACCATCATAAATTCAATATTTTTTAGTGTTCATTGTCACCTCCTTTAGAGTCGAAAGACCTTCCTTGTACTAGACGAGCCATGTTTCTCAAAATACAATGTATATAGATCTAAATTTTTCCAAAGTATTTCAAACACAACAACTTTGCAAGTTTTGTACATCAGCTTAATGTAAGTACATGTACATGCATGCCATTTTAATTTTGTGTGGTATTTTAGAGCATAGTTATTAAGATAACAATGACAGCAAATAAAAATCAGAAATAAAAAATGATACAGTTAAAGTGGACTTAGAAGACTGATTGGAGTAGAGACAAGGGATGCCTTGTTCCCATGCAGCATTAGTCAAGGGGGATTCATAGCTTCCCTATATTTTAACGACATTAAAAGAATATAGTCATTCAATTGCACAGTGATCACCTCGAACAAATACATGTACATGTATACACGCTATTATATACATTATTTATTTATTACGTTGTCATGTGATTATCATGTGATCGTTCCATTATTATTAGGAGACATATTCTTACAATGATCCAATCACTGAACTGATTGACTGTCTCTTTGTTAAGTATGACTTCAATGCAGCACAAGACAGACTGAACGAGGATGAAAAGGTATGTACATGTACTTGTAATTGTACTACATAAATCACCATAATATACACATATGTATTTATATACACGTGTGTTGTACATGTATATATGCTGTGTAGAAAGTTTGAGGTGATTCCAACTTCAATGTTTTAAGAGAATGCCAAAAATCTGAAAAATACGCAAAATACCAAAGGCTATAGCCCATAGTTTTTTCCAAAAAATGGCTCCAAAATTGTCCCAAATTTTTATTGCATTTTCTGATACATATTGATGTCCTTATGCTGTGTAGAAAGTTTGAGCTGATTCCAACTTCAATTCTTTGAGTTACGGCCATTTTAATAAAACACCAAAATCTGAAAAATACCCAAGGCTATATATAGCCCATGGTTTTTTCCAAAAAATGGCTCCAAAATCACCCCAAATTTTTATTACATTTTCTGATACATATTGATGTCCTTATGCTGTG